ATAAAGTGTGTACAACAAGTAAGTAAACTTAGCATGCATAACGAAAACCTGCAGATACACTGCAGCGGGTTTCAGACGATCAGTTTCCATCTTCGGCGTATACGATGGAAGTGATGCCTCAGAAGATCCTGATGGGATCTGCCCGGCAACCGGTGGCCACAAACGCGGTCGAAGAATGTCTATCGGTAAGGCGGTGGTTGGGTGACCATGGCGCTACTGAAATATAACACGGACGCTTTTCAGAGCTGCTTAGATAGTATGCAGAAGTACGGCTTCCAGTGCCATTCAGCCATGTTCTTCCCAGACAAGCGAGACTGCATTCTGAATACGGAAACTGGCCGAAATCGAGCTGACTTGCTTCTCAATGAAGACAAGTCCGATGTACTGTATTTTGAGAACTATTATGCAGCATGTATATCTTTTGTCATCGTTCATTCGTTTCATCTTCTCTAATATCTATTCTAGCATCTTGCCCTTCCGACACCGTGACTCAGTACGTCGAAACAAGGAACAAACAACTCACTTCGACTATTCCGATATCCGATCAGTCGTTGCAGTCGTGCGAATATTTTTGTACCAACAAAATCGGAAAGGTACGAAAGTTTAACAACAAATTCAGCATTATTCATGGACACTGTTTCGTTGCAGAATGGACCATTCAATTGCAAGAGCTTCATGTACCGTGAAAGTGACCGTACTTGCTTTCTAGCAGATGACTTGTCGTTGCCGTCTGGAAAAAGCAGGCTGATGGATGCACCCGGCATAGATTACTACGAAAAACACTGCTTTAAGTGTAAATCATCTAATTATCCTATCGAAAAATTCAGCTAATGCTCGAAAGATTTTAGCCAAGAATGTCGTCGATCAAACTCCTATATTTGAAAATCACCCACAGAAAGTTTTGCTCGGAAGTGCGGCTTCAGTGATCGAAAACGTTCCGTCAGCGCAGAAATGTTTAGATCTGTGCACAAGGTAGCGTAATAGCACTTAGTGCGCATAGATAATGAAGTCCATTACGTCACAAGCATAAATCTACCGGTTTTTTTATTTATTGGGGATGTTTAAGAAGCAGAATCGAACCATAACAAGGTGAATCCAAATCATTCACTTTTTGGTTTATTCTGGTGCTACGTGCAAAGTGATTTCTACTGAGATTGCCGTGCCTGGGTAAGTCTAGCATTCCGCTCTTATGCAATTAAGCAAATTAGTACCGCAGGTTAACATTGGTCAACAGGATCTCAGCGTAAGATGTTCAAAGTAAATCAGAAATCGTCTGAGATACCACACCGAATACCAAAGAGCGGAGGGAGCGTAAAGATATATTGTTGAAGCACACGCAAAAAGTAGAATAGTGAAAGTTTCAAAAATTGAAGCGGGTTACAGAAATCCACTGTTTCTTACAGTTCTTGTCAGAAAATCCAGAAAAGATTTGTTAATGATATCTACTAAAGAAGATCCCTCCTCGCTTAAGCAAATATCATTCAAAACTGCAGGAATGTTCCTTTTTCTAAATGAAGTAATTTCATGACTACAGCTCTTCAACTAACTGCTCAGATTAACTGTAAATATCTGAAAATTATTGGCCAGCTCAGTGACCTTCCTGCCAAGACATAAAAAGTCAAAATATTTTTATAAAATTAGAGGCGATGGTATGATGCAGCATTCCTAGTGTTTTTACCTTCTTTCCACTTTTCCCATCGTTGTTGGCAGGCTCCGCTTTTTTGAAGACGCAGCAAGATGCACTGGTAACGGCTGATAACCGAAGATTCATATGATTAATATGATATTCTCTTTAAACTTGATCTAGAGAAGTATAATGATTTTCCCTTCCTAAAAATAGTGAACTTCGTGTTTTTTCTAAATGAATGGCTTTCATTTGTTAGTTTGTAGAAACTGAGGAACGAACAAAAAGTGATGCTTTGTTGAAATTTAATGCGTAAAATTTGTTATTGAGGAAAGCTGAAGGAGCACATGTTTTATTCAATTAAATCGGTAGAAACGACATAATACGTTTTCTTGAAGTCCGTTAATCTTATTGCTACATATTCGATCTGGGGTCGCCAATTTTCAACAAACTGGACACGACTTACTGTCCCTTAAGTTTCTTGCTGTTTGCCTTAATTCCGATATTCTGGTGCAAAAATTTCTGCGTTTTGACAATGAATACTTCGTCAACTAGATTCATTTTCAATTTATTGCCAGAGAAGAGAAGTGTCATCCACATTGTAGAGAGGCATGTACGTATACGTGTTCCGCGCAATCAAATGAATTAGGTAAAGTGCGTTTAATGGCGTATAGCGGTGATTTCTAGGAAGCTTTTAGATTTCACAGAAAAGTTGATTGACTGTCATAAGGGAAAGATAACATAAAGACGCAACATGAACTTGACTACCTCATTCTTAAAGTCCACCAGGGCTTTCCTTAAAGGTGATGAGAAATGCAGCAACTACTTATTTTGATGCAACGGTAGAAGAAGTTATTTCACAGCTTTAAAGTCGGCAAGCGTTCAATTAATGACAACCTCAGAATTTAACTGTGCGTTTCAACAGCGAGCGCCTAAAATAAAATGCTTCCTCTCCTGGTATCTCATAGTGCTTCAGCATAATGTTAAAGGCCATGGCTATCTACAGGTGAACAGGGCTAAAGTGCTTCGGCTCCTTCCGCCTTTATACACATCGTGAAACGCTCCTATTCCCCAGACATCTGTTAAAAAATAATGTAAGCTAGCTTTTAAGCGCGAACAATGATGTAGATTTAAACAGGTTCTCAGACCGTTTCCAGATGTGATTCTTTCTTGCAAAGTGAAATAATAGTAAAAATCAATCTGTTTCGTTTAGTCCTCCAGCTGGTTTGGACAAGTCGTTTCAGTGTAAATCAGTAATGTACTACTACAACAGCCGTAACTGCGTGCTGAATACGAAGTCGAGGTCTGAATTACCAGAAAATTTTGTTGACGAAACAGAAGGCGCTACGGTTGACTACTTTGATATGCTGCCCCACTCAAGTATTACTCGCATCTTCAGCCAGCAGGGCGACGCTGTATCTAAATCTCAAAGCGTACGTTTTAGCTGCAGAACAGTGTCCGGAAGGATCAAAGGCGATGAGTCTCCGCATAACCGATTCAAAGTTAGAGTCAGATGAAAACAGCGTTGTAGGAGCGGCAAGCGGATCTGCGTCAAATTGCTTTCAAAAGTAACTAAATTGCCGGTTAAACAGACGATCATATTTTGCCGTTATAGGTGCCAAGCGCACTCGCCCGAAAAGTGCCGCAATTTTAACTACAACAAGGGAACAGCAAAATGTGACTTCATGTTTGTTCAAAGCCATAAACTGTCAAATTTGCAAACCGATGCAAATGCTGACTACTACCAGGTTGCATGCGTGCCCAGTAAGGTTATGACCTCAAACATACCCTGACCTTGATGAAATATCTGCAGGTCAAAGCCCGTGCGAGCATGCATATGACGTCACTGTCGCGAAAGAGGCCATTGGAAGGGTGCAAGAAGTCAAAAGAATTCCAGTATCGCGTCCTGACTGTTTGTCTATGTGCCTTGATGATTCAAAGTATTTAACGAATAGTCAAATCCGCTAGAGGTATTAGTTAACTCTTTCAGGTGCAAGGGAATAAATTATAATCACGAAATTGGCTCATGTGCCAAGGTATTGGGAAATCCACAAAGCTACAGTGCTAATCCGGCTTGCAATTATTACAGCAAGGTTTGCGGAGTCGCTTCCGGGTATACTCCTGGAACTGTCGGAGTGCAGACAGTCTGCAACTTGGACGGGATGAAGATCTTGGTACTTCCCGTGTAACTTTGATAAGTGGTTTCTAAAAATTCTTCGTCTACAGGTAACCAAAGAGGAGTCATTCACAGGATCCGTATTCGCCAAAATGAAGTACGATACGTGCCGAGTTGAAGTAAAAGAATCGAAGACTGCAATGCTATATCTGGGTTACCCGGTGGCACGCGCGGAGAGCCCATTTGGAGTCATGCCTCAGCCTTGCGTTGGGCACAAATGCGCCGCAGCCAAGAAGCAGAAACGACAGCGTAGACAAGGCTTCGGACAGCCAACGGCCATGGTACCTATGCAACCACAGATGTTCAGTCAGCTTCTCCCTGCACCGACAATACCAGTACACGACTGTGGAATAACCGACTTGGTGAGCACACGTTTTTCTGCACCAGATTTGACAAATAAATCTAGAGAAACGGTACGTTCCGAGCGACGGTCGTTGTCCAAGCTAATAGTTTGGGCATTCCCGGCCTTGTGACTTCCATGGATGAGGTATACGAAGTTGCTTGCGATTACACCAGCATCGCTTCCAGCAATGCCGTAGTCAGAAAGGGACTCCATGTCGAGTACGGAATGCGCCAGTCACACTGTATTATAAGTAATCATCGTAACTTATAGAGGCCCAACGCCGACCATCATCAATCCTCGTGGAAAGGTAACATTGACCAGTCCTATTATGCTCCAGTTAGGAGGACATGGTCAATCGGTGTTGAGAGCGAGGCTTGGAGAGATGTTGGAGCTAAAATGGCAGATGATGGTTCCAGGCTTGAATCTGGACTTCTTTGTGCAAACGTGCGTCGCTGAGCGCGGAGACTTCTTTCAACCAATTGGTAAGTAACGTTTAGGCACGTCAGCGACAAGCTGAACGGTTTTACTTGCAGTCGCTCCAAGCACTGCATATAGCGCACCGATGTGCGCAACACCGCCGTGTCCCGCGGTTCCAATGCTGTGCACCGCGCCATCATGTACCGCAAATGCCTTTACGAAGACCGCTCAACTGCTGCTTATTGAAAACGGGTGTCCTGCGCCAGCAGTGGCTGGAAGAATCATGCCTGAACCAATAAGGAAGGTGGATGCCGTAACGAAGATGACCCTAATGCAGGCGTTCAGGTTCGACGGAAGCCCTACCGTCAGAATACAATGCAGATTAAAGATTTGCGAAGGATCTTGTCCAGCGGTAATTGGCTTAATATCAATTATGCAATGGCCACCTAAGCGTTTAGGTCGCATGCAACATTCCGGGACACACTGCGAAGAAGAGCAAGCAGAAACGTGAGGTCGAAATCAACGAAGTGAACATCTTCAATGACACTGACAAAAGTAACTGTTTTGCGATATTAAGCTCCGTTCCTCCAAAATTTCTACCTGAAACCATGTTTTAAATTGCCACTAATTAGTTAGTAGGGCTTGGATCGGTTGCTTGGTGTAAAATAGCTACCAAAGGTTCCAGTGGTTTCACATCAAAAAGCTGAAGGAAGAAGTTGAACTAAGACCACTGATTAAAACTTAATTCTCAAGAATTTCGATTTATGATGACGCATGAAAGATTAGTGAAAATGTACACAGTATTAGTGAAAATTGAATTATGTATACAAGAAAAAGTAAGCATTACCAAGTTAACCAAATTCCTGACGCGGTTTGCGAGGCTGAAGCATAAAACAGACGCTATTGCGATTATTGAATTTACAAGCATTTCCAGAAATCATACTAATAGCTACTAGAAAGTACGTGAAAAACAGATAAACGACTTGAAAATAATTAACATTCTACTGCTACAAACATTTTACGTCATTTTAGCTGATCACCGTTCCTTCCCAAGCGTTCAAA